AGTCACTTTTTGTTCTTTTTCTCATTCTATAAAATAACTCTTTCATCGAATTTGAAAGCTGTCAATCGAGTTAAAGAAGAAAAGCTATCCTTTTCTAAGATTTTTTACATTAAAATTGTCTATCATTGATAATTAATCAATTCTCATTAGGGACGAAAATTTTTATCGATTATGAACTTATGATATGATATGAGGCATAACTTATATACCTCATATCACAACCCGATGAAAAATTTTTTGTGAAGCACTTATTTCTACATACTCTGTAATAAATTTCAATTCATTATTAATAGATATTGAATATTATTTCAAAATTATAAAATCAATAGCAATTTCATATTTTAACTTTTATAATAATGCAATTTAAAAAGACGCATTTTCTTCATGTACTAATGAATGAGTTCTGGAAACATTGGCCGTCATAGTTGATTGACTTTATATTTCACAATTTTTTTAAGAACGAAATTTAGCAAAGCGATATGTTTTCTTTGTTGTATTTAAGTATTATTAAAGTATTATTAAAAACATCTCTTCGTTAACCGTATATATTTGCTTTTGCATAGTATTGAAGAATTAATTATTTTCAAGTAATATTTATATATTATATAAATACAAATATTTAAGTATATTATTTAAATAATATTTCAAACAGGAGAAGAAAGAAAATGAGAGAAAAGATAAATTCAATGTATCATTTTCAGTTTGTTTTTCTTCCATTAATTACAGACAAAAATAATTTTTCCATTTGATTTGAAATTTAATAAAATATTGTTATTTTGATTGGACGAGCATTTTCCTCAAATTAATTCATTCAATGATAAAATAATATGTGAGAATATTACGATAATATGCTGTGAATAGGTCAATAATTCATTACTAATTATTAGTAATAAAATTGAAGAGATTCAAATTTATCTTAGGAATTCATACCGAAACTATTCATTGCTCGATAGATTTACAGAGATAGAAGAAAGAAAGAAAGAGATTATTCTTAATTATTCGGATAAAATGATCTTCGAAAATGGATAATACATAAACTGGTCAATTTTATGGACCGGTTTTACAAATGTATCTTTCCGATAAATGATTAACAATAAATGCATAGTTATTTGGTAATTATGCTATTAGCAAAAAGTATATTGCATATATTAACAAATGAGTAATGTATGATTAAATCATTAATTTCATTTAAAAATTGATAATCCAAAAATTTGTTAGTGCAAGCATTCAATTTTGAATTATATTTATTTCAACTAATTGATAAGTTTATAATAAAATCACAAAATGATAAGATGATGGATATAATAAATATATATTATAAATATAATTGACCTAATTTTATACTAATAAATACACCTTTAATTTCAATCAAATAGTAATGAATGTTTTTAACGATTGAAAAAAAGAAAATTTGACAAAATTTTTCAACAAATTTAAATTATATTATTATTTTAAAATAGCAAAAATAAATGGCTTTTAATGGCTAAAGAAAAAACTTATTTAAATTTGATTCGATGCTTTTTAATTTATAATTAATTCATATAAATATACATATATTTATATATATATATTTTTAAAAGCAAAAGGAACGAAAGAAAAATGAAAGGAATATTTTACAAATGGTACTATTAGAAGAGGGAAGGAAAGGAAAGGAATTGTAGCAAAAATGGATGTGACAAAGTCAGGCAAAAGTTTACTTTTCTAGGTGATAAAGTCAGGCAAAAGTTTACTTTTCTAGGTGGTAAAGTCAGGCAAAACTTTACTTTGTCGGATAATAAGGTCAGCCAAACTTTACTTTTCTGGATGATAAGGTCGGACAAAACTTTATTTTCTGATTTCATCCCTTCTATCTAACCATCAAAAGTGATTTTGTCGCACATTGACCAGACAAAAATAGTGAATTTCATCAAACAAAATGGCAAATGTTTTTATTCCCAATAATAATATGAAGGAAATCAAAAAATGGGCAATATATTTGGCCAATAAATTATTTTGCATAACATTTTCTCTTACTTTGATATATTGTTAGTTAGCAACTTGCGCCATTTTTTTCCTATTACTAATTTGAAAGCTTACTGTTAAAAGTTATGAAGCTATAATTGGAAGAATTTTTTTCTATTAATTCGAAGTAATTTTAAATTTCAACATTAACAGGTATTCGTATTTATAAATGTATCTATCGATGAAATTGAAAGTTTTAAACTTTTCGTCCTATCGTTTGATAGGAAGCCTATAGCAATATTGTATAATGTAGAAGAATAATTAGAATACCATGTTATGATAAGTTTTTATTTCTAAATTTTGATAAGCTAATTTTTATCACAATTTTGATATGTTAAAATATTATTATAAAGAAAAAAGTGATATAAATAAATAAATAAGTCAAATTTTTGCAGATTTTGTGAAATAAGAAAAATTCTCAAAAAAAATTGATAAAATTTCTGGTTAATCAATAGGTAATAAAATTTGAATTATTAATTATATGCATTGATTATTATATTTATCAATTAATTAAGGTAAGAAATGTAAGCATAAATTGATTGATCGATGAATTAAATGAATATTGAACAAATTCAATTCAACCACTTTTATTTATTAATTTGTTTAAATGAATTATTGGTAATATAACTCTTTTATATGCGATTGTATGAATTGTTTGAGTTAGGAAAATTTTTGAAATACTTATTGACGATATGTGTATATTTTAATTTAAATCGATTTCAAAACCATCAAATAAAATTGGAAATAATTCCATTAAACTATGCAAATTTCATAATATACAAAATTTTGATGTAATTTTTCATTCCTAAACCTCTCCTGAAATTTTTCAACAATTAAAAAATTTGTTTCTTTTTTATACCAGAAAATAAATACTTAAGAAATGTTTGAGAAACATACATTCTTTTGGTACAGAAATGAATTAAATGATTCATAGAGTATTATTCATGATCAGCATGATTCATAACAGATGCTTGTAATAATTACTGTATAATTTGTTGAAAAGTTCGATAAAAAAAGATGGAAACTTTATGAAAATAAAAATAGATGGAAAACTAAATAAAAGTGAAATGGAAAAGAAGAAGGAATTATGAATCGATTGAACGTAGAAAATTAAATAACCAAAAATTGAATGTAATTTATTTTTGAATAACTCAATTTTTATTGTTCTTTTATTATTTGTTCTTATTGTTTACATTCAACTTTGCATTTGACAGATTAATCATAAAAATTTTATCTGACAGCTTTATTTACTTTATAATAATTATAATTTGATGCATATAAGGTGCAATTAAATATTTTATTAATTTTCAAAAAACAATTTACAAAATAAAAATTGTTTATTCTATTCAATTTTTTTTCTTTACATTTGTTTAGCAAATTATAAATTTGACACATAAAAATAAGACAGTTGATTATTGATTTTTTAAGTGATTAAATAAATGATGTAATTAGTCATTTCTGATCATAATATTTCATTCTATTGATAAACAAGAAAAGAGCAAAAGGAAAGAAATAGAATCGTTACTTGTGACCATTGGTCAAGCAAGTGTTCATGGAATTATTGTCAGATGCGAAACTAATCCATAACGTTTCACATAGCGTTCGTATTGTAGTGATTTCCGATAATTTCTGCTCAAGAAGAAAACTTTCTACGATGAAATTGTTAATTGGAACCTACGAATTCAGCACTTTGGTGGAAAAGAAATTTCGAAAAGTTTGAAAAGCTTTGTTTCTTTTTAATTTTCTAAGATATTAATAAGAAAATTTATTGCGAACAATCAAAATAATAGAAATTTTGTTGAAAAAAAATGCTCAAAATTATTAGTTAAAATAATTCTGTTGGCAAATTCCTGAAAAATTCCAAAATTTACAAACCAGCTGATAGCTTAAAATCGATGAAATGCTATTTAGCATCTAAATTTATTCCTTCAAAAAGTATTTCATGAAAATTGTTATTGCATTTCTTCAATACTATCTAATACCTAACATCGATCAAACTTCTTGCAATTAACTTCGATGAATAATGATCAAACTTTTTACTACAACAAAGTGACAAGCAAAATTAATATTACAAAGTACGGGAAGAAGAATGTGTGCAAAAGATAAAATTTATTCTTAACTTCTCAGTGCACATTAAAACCAATTAATTCAATAATAATTAATCATATTTTCATAAAAAATTTTTCATCAATAAAAATATTTGTGCAAAAAAATAAAAAATGAAGAAAATGTTTGTTGCGCGTTGTTACGATAAGCAACAATGTTGAAAATACGACAAGGTGGTGTTGAAAGTGTTCGCTTTATTTCTCTGATAACGATAGTGTTAGCTGGAGTGCTTTTTAATCGTTCTGAAATGAAATTTTTTATCAAAATTCAAATTTCTTACTATATTATTAAATTTATATAGGATAAGAATATGTTAAATTTGATCAATGTGATAAGGTAATTATTGATTTCTCATCATTTAGTATTAAATAAACTATTCGAATCATTTTATATAGTTGTATCATTTGATAGTAATGAAGTAAATTGTACGATTTTATAGGAATTTTTCTTTTGAAAGAAGTTTATGTGATTAGCGCTATGTTAATTAGCTTTCTAATTAACCTAGGATTAGGTCATTCCTATAATTAGTAATTCATCATTCCTATAACTTATGATTAGTAAATGAAATTTTTTTATCGTCTATTTATTTATATTTTATTCACATATCATTCTATTATACACTAGCTATAACAAATTCTATAATATCGAAAATTTTGAGGAGATTTATTTATTACAGTTAAATTTGATATTAATTCGAATTGATTTAGCTAAATATCATGTGATCTTCAATTGAAGCACTAAAAATAATTCGAATATATTTGTTTTAACATTCTTTAATTTTCTGTAAATTAATTCTTTAAGACTAAAATTAATCAATCAAAAATTTAATGCATTGCTTCCTATCATTTTTATCTTCCTGAAAATGCAACAGTTAAATTTAACGAAAATGTAACTTACACTTTAGAATTATTGCGATTAAAAAATGATGACAATAAATCGATAGGAAATGGAAAGATTATTGTTGAATTTTTCTCCGCACTGAAATAAATTTTAATGAATTAATCAATAATTGAATATATATATATTATTTAGAGACTAAAAAAATGTTTCATTATAGAATTCTATGTTAAACAATTAAATCAATTTCATTTTAAATTAAATATAATTTTAATTTAATTCCAATTATTTCAAATATAATTCCAAATTCCTTTCTCATATATGTTTATATAATAAATGAAAAATAAATAAACAGAAATTTTTATTTACTTCTTAATTTATATTCTCACACTTTATATTATCTTTCCATCGATATTTGTTGTTTGTTTATATTCATTCACACTTATTCATTAATAAAGTTTTTATATTCACTTACTCATACTTTAAATTAATATTGAAGTTGAAGTTAACCTTATTGAGTTTAAAGTTTGCAAATATCGTAATTGCATGGCAGATGATGATTCAGCGATCACTTCAGCAGCTTCTTTAAGAGCTCGTGATGCTTTTTGTTCACCTTTTGCAACGATCACCTGGAATTTCAGGTTAAGTTAACGTTAAGATTGAAGCTTTCTGGTAGAAAGAAAAGAGAAAGTAGAAGGAAATTTTCAGTAAAAGAAAAAGAAAATAAAAAGAAGATAATTTGATATTTCTTTCAGAATCCCCCGTATAAAAAAATTAAAGGAAAGTAATATCGATTCTTCGAATGCGTGAATTTTGCTAACGTAACTGAATGGTTAAGCATGTTTTTACGTCATTTATATTATATCTTACTAGTTTAGTCCATGAAACAAATGCGCCACTTAGCCAGAGATACAATGGTGCAACAACGATAAGTAATTTTTAAAGACATCAACCATGAAGTTTATTCATTTTGATTTAAGTATAATTAAGCTAGTTAATATTAAGCAGATTATTAAGAAAAAAATTATATTTTCAAGAGGTGGTTTGAAAAAGCAACCTTAGCTCGAGCTTCACGTGCAGCCTCAGCTTCTGCTGCCATAGCACGTTGAAGTTGAACTGGAAGTCGGACATCCTTTACTTCCACTCTCTCTACTTTTACTCCCCAAGGTCCTGTAGCATCATCAAGCGTTATCTGAAAATTCATTTTCATTTCTTATAACTTTAGTTGTCAAAAAATTTGTTTTCACCACCTTGCTTGTATACGCTGACATACTTAGCCGAATCATAACATTATTTGTAGGAAAGCTAAATTTGATTTTATTTTCAAAAATTGATAAAATTGAAATTTTTGCCGCAATCTTCGAATTTATCACTTTATTACAACTTTGTTAATTATATAAATTTCTTATCCCAATATGTTCTATGCTTATTTGACCGTTTTTAATTTCAAAATTTAGAAAATAAAAAATCAAAATAGACTTACTTGCATTTGCAAAGAAATAGCTTCACGATCAGAAAGCATTTCGGCTAATGTTTTTGTTCCGAGAATATTCCTCAATGTTGTTTGCGCAAGTAGCTTTGTTGATCTGAATTTTATAAACACTTTTATCGATTGCTTCCCTTATCAACTTATCACATTAGCTAAATATTCTAATAATATAATATACTTGCTGTTCTAATGCTACTAAGAAAAGAAAAGTAAAAAGTGAAATTCAATTTTTTAAATTTCTATTGGCTTATTCTTTATTGAAAGAATAAAATGGCTGAATTCTAAAAGTTCTTCCGAACTTTTTATCCATTTTCAATCGTGATTTTTAATTTGAATTTTATTTAATTAGTCAAGCCAAGCAAAAAAAGACGAAAATGAAAATATGAAAAAAAGACGTTGCAGCATCTTCAACGTTCGTAACCGATACAGTAGCATTTGATATTCGAAAATATACAACTGCATCGACAGCTACAGTTACCGAATCCTTAGAAAGAATCTGAAAGTTTGAACAGTTTTTTCAATCTTGAAGTTTTTTAGAAAATGCGAAAAATAATTTAAGTAATAAAAAACTGACAATAAGTTATCCAAAGATTTAATTTATGTACTGTCGGTTAGTATTTGATAAAAGATATCATTAGCTTTTATTCATTAAAAGAGATGAAAAGATCAATTATAGGAATGATAAATTAAATTACTCGATAAGAAGATAAAAAATGAACTATCGGAAATAAATGTATATTTTCTCATTAACTTATATGTATATAAATATTTCAGTGTGATATAATTTTACAATTGATTATACTTAAAAACTTTTGATAACAAAAAAGTAAAAGTGATAATTTAATGAAATAGTTTGTTACCTCTTGAGGAGGCACTTCAAATGAAAACACACGTAGATCCACTTTACGATATGTATCTATGCATGGCACAGTAAAAAATATCCCTAAAAATATTAATTAATTTTTAAATATTTTTATAATTATATCGTAAATTTGTAAAATTTAATAATTTTCAAATAAATCATTGCATTAGAAATTTCAGTAAAAATTTCAATTAATAACAAACCAGGCCCTCTTGCACCACCAGGCATTAAACGACCTAATCGAAATATTACCACCCTTTCATATTCTTGCACAACCTTAAACAAATGATAGTTCATAGAATGATAAAAGATAATGATTATGGATAATGATTAGCATCTTACTCGATCATACTTTATTTTCCTTATTTTTGTGAACCTTATATTTTCATATTTTTTAAATCTTTTGCCACAGAATATATTTTTAAACTCAATCTTTTTGCACAAAGAAAAATTTGCAATATTATTTTGAGGAGAATATTTGCATGTAAAAATTTAAGAATGCATAATTATTTGATTAAGTTAATTAGTCTTTATCGACAATATTATTTATTAGTAAACCAATATAAAATTATTCGTAGAGAAGTGTTAAGATTAGATTTTATTTTTGTTACAGGAAATAAATCTAAGTTTAATAATCGAAGTGTAAAATAATTCAACTTTCACGCAATACATTGCGTGTTGAAATGAAAAGAATTGCTACTCAAATATTTTAAATTGAAAATAATTATTTCATATTAAATTAAATAACTTACTTTAACACACATACATACTGAAATTGGCAATGTGAAAAAGATCAATATATAAGACAGTATCGTTAGGATCCAACCACAGAAGCCTAATTCACTTTGTACATTCACTGAAATAAGAGGTAAGAATAAAAATGGTGAAATTTTAATTGGAATAAAAATTTAAGGAGTGAATTTTATTAAATTTTAAATAAATATATTTAAAAAGTGAAAAACTTACTTTAATAAATGAATAAATAAGTATATATAATTAATTGATTAGTTAATTAATTAATTAATATATGCAAATAGTTCCTTGTATGTGAAAGAAAAAAGGGAAAAAGGAAAGATGTTAAAAAGATATGGTTGAAAAATAGAAATTATACTTTAATAAAATTGAATAATTCTAGTTATACGATTAATTATATTTTCCATTGATTTTCAACAGCGAAATAATCATGCGATACCTTTTTGAATTTCTCGTAAATAATACTACACTTTCATTGGAACTTCACTGACTTTTTTACCGGCCTAATTGTTGTCAGCATTAAAATTAAAGTAGTAAAATTGAAGTGAAATTATTAATAACAGTGTATTATGATTTATGCTTCTTTAAATTTGATAAAATTTTAGCGGAAAATATTCATTATTGATTGATTTTAATTGATATGATATTATTTGCTTTACTTTTTATCTGATATGATAAATCAGGATATACTGCCGTAATTTTATCAATATTGATTTCTCACATATTCATTAACAAAGTATTAATAAATATCAATTAAAAGTGGTTTCGAATAGCATAAATTTTGTGTTTAAAATGAAAATCCTAACTTCGGCTTTCAACTTCAGTTATTTAATAAAAGTATTAATAAGGAATGAAATAAAAAAAGAAATTGCAATTAATATCAACCTGGAATAGAAAATTAGCTAACAAAAGGAAGTAATTACTGAAATTACCAGTTATTGAAAGTTACTTCATACATAAAGTAACATACATATATATAAATGATTTTATGGACATCTGAGAAGAAGTGATACAAAATCAACATATCGTCCAAGAATTAAAAAAGTTTAGTATTTTAGTAAAGCGTAATGTTGAAGAATATCAATATCGATTGGTTTTATATTAGTCACAATTTTTAGTGAAAGGATTTATTTTTGTCAGTGCAATTTATTAGATTAAAAAGTGATGAAATATTCTCATGTTAGCTTACGATCATATTGCGCCTCAATTGAAGATTGCATTTGTATCAGATTTTACTGCCATTGTATATGGCTCAGCCCTTTGACACTTGAAATACGATATATTTTTCGTGATAGTAGACGGAATAATTTTTTGGTCATCACTTTTTAATCCAATAAATCACACTGTCATTTGTTTGCTGTTAAAATTTGATGCAAATTATTTTTTGAAATTTAATTTTATGCACTCCAAAACTCTCTAGTTTATTTAATATCAAGGAATAAATTATAAAACCAATATGCCATTATACAAACCAGTTATGTTATTAGATTATTAATTATTTTTATTGCAAAATTTTTTGCCTCACCGCTACTATCATTCAATGGAAGTTCTCTGATATTGAATGAAGTTAATGATTCGCTTTCCTTATCAATGTAATAACTATTGGTAGGATTGAATACGAGATTCGTCGATAATGATGATATGGATTCATTCTTGGACCGATAATTCATTCAATCAGCAAGTAACCAGAAATAAGCTAATAACGAGAAATATATCATCGGAAATTCAATTCGATTCAATCCTATCGAATTATACAAATAGCGCATTGGTTGAGAGAGAGAAATTCTCGCAATTTATATTAGTTTTAAAATAGAAATTCTAAGAAAGAAAAAAGAAAGAGAGAAAGGAAGAAAGGAATAGCTATCAATGTTGCAGATTGCAGGAGAGTTAACAAAGAAAACGCTGAATTTATTTAAAATGCGTGAGAGAATGTTTGCTTCACATCACTTTAAAAAAAATGTAAACGCTATGTTTTTTACAACATTTCAAGGATTGAGAGATAAGGTAAAGATTAGAAAGATGTCGTAGTATTGCATTTGAATGATTTCTATCTTTCATCTTTTCTTTCTTGATTAATCTTTGAAGATTTTAAACATTCACTATTTCAGTGTTACAAATATGATAATATAACATGCAATATTATCATTAGCATGCAATATTATCATTAGCATGCAATATTATCATAGAATGCACTAAAAAGTATCATTGCTGTTATTTTCATTTTCTCAAAAAATGACTAATATATTGAAAAAAATCGGCAAACGAAAAATGATTAATAAGAAATGGCATTTTATTCTATCTATCATTTATCATCCATTTCATTTTATATCCTCACATTTTTAGTTAAAAAATGATATCATTCAGAAAAAAGGAATAAGTATTTGATATCATAAATAATCAAACGATCCTTTAATATCCATTTGCCAAATTATAATGCTTACCTAATGTTTAGGGCTGTTGTCAATAAAATCATACACAATATATTATTAACACAAATATAATTGTAAACAATAAATTATTGCAATTATTACTATCGTTGTTTATAATAATTATGAAAAGTCAGCTAAATTTATGTTGATATTAATTAAAATTTTAAAAAATTAATAATTGTTGTAATAAATAATGATATCTATTAACTCCTTTTTTTCCTTTCTTCCTCCGATAAAAGTTTATTTACTATAAATAAATAAATTTGTTTGTTTGTTTATAATAGTTATTTACGGAATTGCTCGTTTTGTTTTTAATAATATTTCTTTATGATATTCTTCATAAAATTATACTATTATTTATTAATTTAGTGAATAACTATAAAAAGATGAACAACTGTACGACAGTAAGCAACTGTAAGCAGGTGAACAACTGTAAGCAGCTGAACAGCAGGTGAAGTAAGTTGAGCAGTTGAACAGCAGTGAACAACTGTAAGCAGGTGAACACTGTAAGAAGGTGAATAACTATAAGAAGGTGAAATCAATAGAAATAAAAGAAAACCGCAAAAACTATGATTTGCAAGTGAAACATTGTTTTTGATAGAATCTATGAAATTTCATAGAAAATCTAATTCATTCATTTGTATTTAAAAATTCTATGAAAAATTGCAAAAAAATAAACCTAAAGAGAATGAATGAAATAATTGGTGCAAAATTATTTGAAATTTTATAGTAAATATATGTGAGAATTGTTATTATCCAACAAATAATTAACAAATTGAAATAGAAAATTCAAATTTGCCTTATTTACATAATATATTATAATAAAATTCATTGATAACTAGTGAAATAATTGCATTTTCTTATGCAAATTTGCATTTTCTACAAATATATTTCGACGATAATTAATATCCAACCTTTTTCCCACAATTTTTCAACCAAAAAAAAATGGATTTTTGATATGAATTGAAATTGAAAAGACGATGAAATTACTTATTTGTCAATAAATTTTATTTTAATCGATTGTACTAAAATAATAAAATTGTCGTATTTTAGACTTTAAATTAGGATCATATTTATTATTTGAAAAATGATGAAGAACGAAATGAAAGTAACAAGTATACAAATTGAAGTTACCAAATTGTAATTAATACTAAAATGATCAAACAAAATGAATAATGGAAATAGGTTAAATATTGAAGGATATAAGTTATGGATATTTGTTTCAGGATTAAGTAATTTTAGAAATGAATTAATAAAAATAAAATATTAAAAATTTGGTAAATTAATTGGTGTCAGACCTCTAACAGGATCATATTGTGCAGAATGAAGTGATCTTGGACCGTCTGATACACGGCGGTTTACTCTGGTCATCATTTCTTCTAAAGTTGGTCGTGTCCATAAGGATAATCGGCGTCGTTCGCTGTTGAGATTATGCGAATAGCGTCGCATTGATGATGATTGCAAGTGATTAATGCCGGACGGATACAGTGATTCCGCACTTCGTGTTAGAGTTCTTTGAAAATGTACAATATCACCAGATGATTCCATCATATTATTATCAATGTTATCATTATCATTATCAGTTAGTGGGGGAAAATAATCGTTATCACAGGATTTTTCCGTTGTTCGTTTAATCGTATTATTTCTATTGGCTATTCGTAGTCCAATAATGGTCAAAATTCCACCATCCAAATCTTCTTGCTCTCTTGTTTGTTGTTGAGTCAATATAGAACAGCAATTGCTTGTGATAGATCCAATAAATGGTAGCATAGAAATTTGTCGCCGTGCTGTGGCACTTTTTAGGATAGTGCAAAAGGATGAATGTTTTTCATAAAGTAAAAGTAATGCGAAAAGATTTGTTTTGCTCTTTTTTGATGTTTTCCGCTTTAGATAAGCTTCTTTCTCATATAGCCAATTTTACAGCTATTTTTGCTGTAACATTTTGCCATTAGCAGTAGCAGCACTGATTGATGAATTTTCTCGATGCTTACTTCTGCTTCTGAAAAGTCAATTAACATCCAAAAGGATGATAACATTTTCATTTTCATTAATTCATTGCAACTCATTTATTTTCTTCTTTGCTCTCCTTCTCTCTCTCTCTCCCTTTCTCTCTCTCCCTGTTTTTGAAGATTACTTTTTTAAAGTAATAATTTATTCGATACTTTTTTTCTTGTTAAAATCATTTCAAATTACTTTTAATTAATTCTTTTCCATTTGTTAACGACTAAAATAAACATATCAATTATTGCTTTGAGTAATTCATCCAAAAGAGAGTATTTTATATTTTATATGTTAACACATTTTTTTATTTAAATTTAAATGGTTAACAAAAGGAAAAGCGATCGATCTCTTTGAAGTAATCGTCGCATTTCACACACACACACACACACAAAAAGCAAAGAATCAAATATCCCCAAATGAAGCAGTCATTTCCATAATCAAAATTTGATGTAATGAATGACAAATAATTGCATCTGTCATTTATCACAACAAATGATAATATCAAATAAAATTGATTTCAATACAATAATTTTATCAAATGTTATCATTTTTATTACAATAGTAATATGATCAAAGCAAATATTTCTATTCCATAACACTTTTCTATAATTACAAAGTAAAGTAACGATCGATTTTGATGTATGCTAGAAAAGCCTATCTTTAGCGATTTCATAATAGTAATCAAGAATTATTCGTTAATTTTAAATTTCAATTAATTATTTATTTATTTTAAGCGATGGCTTGAAGTAAATAAATAATTAGAAAATGAAGCTTTTAGCAAAACAAAAAAAATGAGCATAAATAAAATAAAATTTAAAATTTATAATTTATTTCATTTTCAAAAATTTTGTTGTTCTTTTTACTTAAAATTCTTTTTTGCAATAAGTAAGAATAAATAAATGAAATCGAATTCTTTGCAAATTTTCATTTCCTTTCTATCTGAAACTATCTGATACTTACCAGTTGTAAACATCTTAAATTATTCATCTAAAAGGCTGCTAACAAATCAACAATTAGAAAGACATATCCATTCTCAGAGATAATAAAATATTTGTAATAATGCTAATATATACTTCAAAATATCATTTATAACATAATTCTTCCTTTTCCCGCATTAATATGAATTTGTATTACTCAGATATATATATACTTATTCGTTTATCAATTTATGACAAATTTAGATATCACTTATCAACCTACCTAATATGATAAAATTTAATATTTGTTTATCGATTTATTTCATGTAAAATTCAAAATTCATTTATCTAAATATTTGATATGATAAAATTCATTTTTTTTTCACCACAATTCCTGGGAATTGTTTATGTTGATACATTGAACTGATAACAGTAATAAAGAATTAATGAAAATTTAACCGAAAATAACAAACACTATCCGATATAGTATGTTAACAATTCGTATCCGTTTTAACTATATTCCATTAACTATACAATCATTAATATAATAAATTTCTTATCTTAGAAACTTCTCAAAGATAGTTGTTGTTATTCTTTGACAAACTAATTCTTATACTAAGCCGATGAAAATGACGAATTTACAAAGAGCTAGCTATAAGAGGATTTATTTGAAAACATTTTCAGACTAACGAAAGATTTATTTTTAGATTGAAAACAAAAGAAGAAAAGAGAATGAAAAGAGAAAGGTGAAAAAAAAATTAGAAAATAAAGAAATGAAAGAGAATGTAAAAATAGGATTGAGAAGTGAAATTGAAGTAGTAGGAGAAAGTTTGGAGAGAAAGAGTATTATTATGGGATAGGAAGGAATGAGTGCTATTGGACGCTTCATTGATGAGAATGAAACAATAATGGGACAATTATTAGCATTTGGTCAACAACGCTTAGAATTATTCGATCGCATTATTATTCAACGAAATCGAAATTACTTTACTTTTACTTTTACATAACATTGAATTTCTTTTCTTTCAATTATTATTATTATTATTTATTTATTATTATTTATTATTATTATTTATTATTTA